ATTTGGAACTGTGAATTGCGAGTGCCGGATAGTGCTCTCAACGCCAATGCCACCATGCCTGCTTTGCCTCACGATGCTTTAGGACGAAGCGGCCCTCCCTAAGGCCCTAAGGCCTGAGTTCCATAACGTTCAACCGTGAGCTCTGTCAATCGCAGAACCCCTCCTTGCAAGGATCCAAAAGGTTCGCGAATCTGTGGCGTAGGTTTGGCAGAAGTGAAGAAGAAACAAATCGACCTACATGGGCCTGCTCGGTCGTGAACTTGACAAACACAGCTGCAGAATAACATGAAATGCAGGTATCGGACCTGGAGAAGATCCATCTGCAGTTGTGCCTTGACGTGGACACCTTCGTCAGCCTCGCCAGACATCTCAGTCGGAGCATCTGAGAGTTCGAGGGCCGGTTGTTTGGGTTCTGGATCGCAAAAAGCCGCTTTGCCCGAAGGCCCGGTTGTCGCGGATCACCTCTCCGTCACGAAGATCACCTCCACTAAAGGGATTTTCTGCTTTCCAAGCTCCTAGTAGCAAGCACTCATTTTGGGGTGCTGAAAATTCACAGAGGGTTTTTTTGGTTTTTTGGGGAAGCGATTGAGTTCCTGGCTTCAACTACTGCAGGGGCAAAAGCCGCAACAACCTCCGAAAAGAGGGGCGTCTGCCCTCCCGAGCTCTGAAGGCCTCCAAATCGGCCAACTCGCCGGGCTTGGCAAAGCTGACCGAGGCGACGCTGCATTCAGGGTCCGGTTGAGGTAAACTGTAGGCACTGTAGGCCCTAGGCGTGCCAGAAACAACCTTGAACTTTAAATCCTGAAGCTTATGAAGGATTCAAACTGCTATAAACCAAGTATCCGCTAAAATCTTTCAGCCTGCCAAGCTTAAAGTTTGGGCTTGTGTTAGCACTGTTGGGAACTCGTCTCAACATAACACTCGGACACGCTGCAAGTACCGGCCGACATGCCAGAGTTCTCCGCCAAAATTCAGACACGGAGTTTATGTAGCAACGGCATGCGAAACGTGCCCGCTGACAACCTGTCAAAGAGGAACTGTGGCGACACATTCTCTTAGGAGGGCTCTTTCCATCATGTCCGCGCGCACTATCTTAGGATCCACGAAAACTTCTCATGAAATTTCTATAGCCTTGCGACACCCCAGCAGCGAAGCCCTTCAAGAGCCTACATCCCAACCCAATCCAAGCCTCAGCACATCTCAACACCGAAGGCGGTCGCAGGGATTCGCCGGTCGGAGGACCACTTGAGTTCATTTGGGCCCGTTGTTGGTTGATGCCGCAGAGGGCTGTGTTCCGACATGTTAACCTCTGGTCACGACTCAAGATTGCAGGGTTTGAGGTCCACGGGTCAGCAAACACCAACAACAGGTCCTGTGCAGCTTGACACCTGCGTGCATATGATGCGTTTGGTTGCTACATTCAAACTGAGAGCAAGGCATGTCCGTCCCTGTGCTCAGTGCTAGAAAGGTTTAGTTTTCGAGGGCGACAAATGTTGGGATTCCTTCAAAACTTCTCTCGAAATCTAGATGTTCCAATGCGACAGGCTTGGAAGATGGGCAGCATCAGAGTGTTTTCCTAAGGCAGATGCGTTGTTGGACCAAGTTGTGCTAAATGCACCATTTTTGTGTTCCTGCATTGCCAGAAGATGAGCTAGATGATGTTAGGATTCGGGGCTGTAGTTGGGTTGGATGCTGGTGGGGAAAGCAATGACATCTCGAGGACGCCTGACCGCCAAAGCAAGGTATTCGCCAAGGTGCTGTGCCAGCTGCGGAGAAAGTATTGCATCGCCAGGAGGAGGGTCTAGAGCTTCAGTGTGTTCTATATCGGACAATACGGTCATCCTGACTGGATTGTTAACATCGTCATGGCGCACATCCCGGCGTCTCGTACCTTTGTATCACAGCAGAGCTCCTGGATGGTACCAGTAAGGTATTGCAGCCATTAGCAGTAGCAGTGCCACTGCATGGCCTTTTGGAAGTTGCTGAGCCTTCTTTGGGCAATGGAATTATGAAGGGAACCTTCTTGGGGCAGGAGAGCATTCACGCAGCGTTCGGCGTTGCATTCCAAGCTCTCGGGCCATGCGGTCTGGGCGAGTTTACTTTCTGCGCACTGCCAACACGTGGTTCTTTCCGTGCTGTTGCTGGCTCATTGAACGGTAACGGAGGGAAGGCCCTCACCTTTAAGGATTCTAAGGTCAAGTTCAGTAGAGGCACTTTCAATCTTTCATAACCAGAGCTCTAAAAGCCCGCGGCCTCAAGGCTGAATCATCCACCCGTCAACCCCTCCAAAGGCCTATGACCAGAAGACCCTGAACTTCATATTTGGGACCTCCCTTGGTCACAACGGATCAAGTGCACCCTGAAACCTCACTGCTAGCGGTTTGATTCTCAAGCCATCCGATTCATCGAGGCTAGATTCCTAGGCCCTGCACGCTTGATGGCGCATGTGACGTCCTGGAGCAAGGAGGATGTGGCACAGTGGCTGAGCTTAATGAGCCCCAAGCTCCAAACCTTTACCAAAGCACTTGTTCTCCTGTAGTGCCCCTAGGAACTTTGCATGCCGGGACGGGCTCACTTTGCTAGGTAGAGACATATAAGATAAGTGCTCTCCCTGTTGTAGACCTCAAAGGAAAAGGCGGGCGTTTCCGTAGAGCTTTCATGGAGCAGAGCTGCTACTGCTCCCTCACCAATATAAGGTGGTATGAGCGCGCGCCCCCCGCCCCGCGACCCCCCCCTGCCTGCCCCCCCCCCCTCGTGCCTCCAGATCCATGGTTTTATATCTTCGAACCTTGACATTAAGCAATGTGTGGGAGCGTTATTGGTTTTTGTCATTAGGTTGCAGATCTGCACTGTTCAAAACAAGGCATTACCACGATTTGCTTTATCTTCATGCCAAGATGTCTGTGGCAGACTCACACTTATGTTGAAGATCAGAACAGCTTAGATGGGCCCCCTTCCCCCCCCCGGACACAGAGGGTCCTTCCCAGTCGGGTCCAGATGTTTCAGAGGGGTTCAGAGATGAGTACCGTGCCCATAAAACTGGAGAGCAGAAAGCACTGAAGCCAAGCCCAATCAAAGGCCCGGGATACCCCGGCCTTCAGCCTCGAAATCCGCAACGATGCTCATGAAAAATGCTCATGCAAGTGATTTGCAAGACATGGAACCATCCCCACCCCCCAACCCCGAACGAAGGTCAGGGCTTTGGGTTTGGTGCTCTAGCGGAGGTGGGCCGAAGAATGCTTGCAGCTGACATGCGGCCGTTTGCTGCGTGAAGCCGTGGCCCGGCAGAACGAATGAGAGCTGCACCTTAAGGTCAACGACGTGTGTTTGGCACCAGCCGACTCAGCGCAGTCACTGTGTAAATTTTATACGGACACCCAAAGCCCTAGACCCCAGAATCCAAACCTTAAAAAACCTTGAAGCAGCGGTCCCGAACCAGCCTCAGCAATCCACCGGTGACAAGGAGGCTTGGAACTTGGAGCTCCGCCTTACATTCTCCAGCTTTGAACGTGTGGAACCCAAAAGGCGTTTGAGGGTCCAGAGCCTCAGCCTTAAAATGGAGCACTGCGCTCTGAGGCCTGTAGCGGTGTAACGCCTTAAGAGTCTCCGATGGATCTCAAAGCAACTAGCTTGCGAGCTGTTGCCAACGGAAGAGGGGAACTTCATGCCGCTCCTCAGAAAATGTGTTCACGGACGTCTGGGGGACGTCCGTGAACATAAAGGGTTCGAGGTCTACTTGCGGAGCCTCAAAACGCCTTGAGCCTTTAGGCCGCTCAGCAATGAGGTTAAGGGGAGCAGGGATACCCCTAATCCCAGAACGCCAGAGCGCGAGGACATTTCTGGATCTGCACTTCTGCGCGGTGATGTCGACCAGCTGAAAGCCATAGGAGCCGGGTGAGCGAGAGTTTCCAAGCGTTTGGTCCTTCAATCCTTGCCATTTACGCCAACATGTTCAGAAGCTTCAACGGGAACTAACGATGAAGCCCTCACATGTCGATAGTTTCTCGATACGCGTACCTGCCTCTTGCCGCCCTTGCACTTTTCTTGGAGCCCTGCTTTGTTTCGTTGCATCCCTGCCAACACACCGGGGCTAAGTCCCCCTGCTCGGCTTGAAGACTCTTCGCAAGCCGTGAGTGAGTGAGTGAGTGAGTGGCACCCATGCCCGAACCATGATTAACTTATGTTATGTCCCATTCCCAATTCATCCACGCACGAATCAGGATCATTCTGCACTGGTCTAAGGCGAGCATGGTTGGTATTGAGTTGCCCGCACGCCACCTTGCAGCCAGTCCGAACCACCCACCATGCAGTCTGTTATTTACGCACCAGTACACCACATTATGGATCATGCTTGCTATGAACTCATCAGTTTATCCCCGAAACCCTGTTCGCCCAACCAACTTCCACCGTTCGCCCCACAAGGCTCTGCAAGACCCGAAGTTCCCAGGTCTAAAACCCTGAAGAGCCCCAAAAAAAGACTGTTAAGGCTCCGTAACCCCTACACAAGTCCAACGTAGCTCTCTACGAGGCAGAAGAGCAGCCAAGATTCACTTCAAGATACTTCAAGAGCTTGAAGTCCGACAGCTGCAGGAGTGCCCGACACCGAAGCCCAGCGTTTGGAGCGCCACATCTCCGTCTTCCGGAAGCAGCTCTCTGCCGAGGTTCGAAGTTGGGAGCTCGTTTCCTAGATGCGCATGCGTGTGCAATGCATGTGCCATGCAAGGGACGTTTCGACCCAAAGCCATCAAAGCTTTGATGTTCATGGGTTAGTACTTCACCGGTTGGCGACGCCGTGGTGTGTCCCAAACTCCTACTTCGGGCTGGGGAATTCAGGGGATTAAGTCGTTTGGACCCACGAGTTCACACTGCCGTGGCAGCCAAGCTCTCCTTCACCCTGGCTTCAACCTTACTCCAAGCTCTCACTCCCAGACTCCCAGACTTTAAAGTTATCATGCGCCTATGCGGAGGACTTGGCCACACCTTCCAGCTCCAGAGTTTCAATGCCCTCAACTTCCGCATCGGTTTCTGCACCAGCTTCCGCGCCTGCTGTGGTCAAGGCACGCAGGATACTTGAGGTTTGGGGCGACCAAGCTTTTAGGCTTAGGAGCACTTGTTGGGATGGTTTTACTTTCGATTCAAGGTTTCAGTTTGGACTTCGGGCTTAGTTTTGGGGCCTAGTCCACAGAGGCACACAATGAACAGCATCCTGTGTTTGATCAAGCACAGTAACCATAAGTTGAGAACCCGTAAGCCCGCTTGCTATCTGTACAAACAGGTGGGCAGCCTTTCTTTCAGGACATGCGCTTAAGGTTTAACAGCTTCGGGTTTGGGCAAGGGTCTAAGTTTGGGATTATGGGCCGACCACTGGCGCTTGTGGGTACTAACTTGTGCTTCAGAACTGGAGCAGCGCATTTCCACTAACATCAGAAGCCTGATCCCCGACGCTCCAAGATAGGCAACAATCTCTCATTCAAAGCTTGTAAGATGGGTCAATGGTTAACGTCATGTTGGGTCACTTAGATATATGTAGACCCCACGCAATACGCTCGAAGCTTCATCAACACGTTGCGCAAGGGTTTTCGCAAGCTCTGTCAACGTTTAACTTACAGACTGTCATGAGACTGCTGGTGTACGAAAAGAGAAGCCTGAGGATGTACTAAGCGTGATTGTGCTAGTTCAATAGGCGTGAGGAGAGGCACCTTCGAAAGTTGCAAGGGTTGCGTTGTCCTAACTTGCTTTTCACTCGTGTTTGCGCCTGGCTTATAGTTGGTGTGATATCTGACCCTGTGACTTGCGACCCCGCAGCCTTGAAGTCAAAAGCCCAAAGCTGCAAACCCGTACCAGGTGCGAACCCCTCGGCGGTCACTCCAAACTACTCCTTGCGCCGCCGCAGCATCCGCAGCGTCAGCAAAGACTGCAGCCTGGACTCACAAAGGGCATGAAAGGGCTTGTGCTGTTCTGCCATCGAAAACTGTATGGTTCAGGGCTACTGGGCTCATACATGGGATTGTATGGGCACAAGTCAGTGTGGGGAAGCTTGGGCTGGCCGGTGCCTCCTTCGCGCCTCGTCAGCCTAGGCGCCAGGGCCGCCGCGTGTCGCTGGCATCCAGCGGCTAAGGGAGCTTAGGCCGAAGCAGCTGGCACCCTGGCTGAAGTTCTAAATCAAAGGTTGCATACGGTGTTTGAAAGCGGACTGGGTGGCAGTAGTGAAGAGCCACTGCGCTGCAAGACTCAAGTGAACGTGCAACAGACAACGAATGCAACCAGGAGAGAAGGTAAACAGCAAAAAGCAGTATGCCGTCTCTTCTTCCTTATGCGAATGCTTTGATGGGCTAAGCAGGTCGTGAACTCGAAAGGACACGTCCCAGGCATCAACTGCTTTGAAGGTATCGGATCTGCAGGAACTGCAGGAATTCGGTAGGCAGAGGTGACGATCGCAGATGAGGTGGTTGACGGTGGTTGCCAGGTTTGGAGGCTTTGGAGGTGCTGCACAGGCACCACAGTCCCACAGTGGTGGTCCTCAAGGGCTCAGTACGAAGCAAACAGCTTGGGTGAGCAGTTGTATGGGCTCACTCGCTATTGCCATGCTTTGAAGCTTTACGCATGGGGGCTGAGCAACTCTGCAGGTGGAAGGATACAGAGGCAAAACGGTTTTGTTAATGAGGCCCAGCACTCTGTGCGTGGTTTGCTCAAACATAAGCCTCAGCCTTTACTGAGCACATAACGCACTCCAGTTCGCGAGGCAATTCAGGCCAGGGAGTGCACATAAAAACAGCCAATTACAAAACTCCGGGCCCGGACCTCAAGACTCGTAGCAGAAAAGACAGAAAGCCGCATGGATCGTTGCATTACTTATCGTTGAAATTGTGATGCTGTTGTTGCTTTGCTTCCCTTTGAGGCTTGTTACATCTTCTTATTGTTCTTCCGGACCGCAAACATCAATCATTCAAGAACATGTTTTTTTTTTTTTTTGGGGGGGGGGGGGTGTTTGCTGGTTGTTAGGAGCTATACCCACAAATACTGATGTTTGGGATGGGCTTAGGATGCTTAGGCTGCTTTACAGAAGCTCTCCCATGCTTTCCGTCTCAACACCAGCCTCTTTTCCTATCCCCTCCAAGCTGCTACCCTTTACATTCTAACCTGCCAAATGCTTGGGAGACTTAAAACTCGGGTCGCCCTGAATTGGTTGCAACTAGTACTAAGTCGTTTCATTTTTTAACCTGACTCCCCGAAAGTATCATCGGCTTCTGCGCCAGTTCAGTTCATCTTTGACTGATGAGGGATGACTCCCGTAGTGTTTCCCCAATACGAGTCCCCCCAAGCCTCACCAAACCTTGCTCTCAGGACTTCACAGCAGTCACCTCGACCCAGGCAGACGATGAGGCGCCACCACTTAGGTCACATAGCAGATGTCGTTAGTAGCAGCATGGCTGCCCTTTCAGGTCATAGTTCTGGCACGTTCTGCTCCGAGCTGATGGAAGACATTTCACATGCGCTCGAAATGAGGCCTTAAAGAGTAGAAGTGCACATCGACGTGTCGGCGGATGGCAACGTGTTCAGGTCCCCACACCTAGGCGCGCGCCCTCCAGCGATGGAGGAGAGCTGTTCTGCCTCAACCTGTGAAAGGTTTTTTTCCCGCCCCTACATTAAACATTTACACCCTAATTTCTCAAGGTTCAAACCCAAGACCCCCAACAGCGTGTTGCCAGTAGGTCGAGGATCAGTCAACATGGTAAAGTTCGTAGCATGGCAGTCACGTTTTAGGGCCTTTGGGTTTAGGGTTTGAACTTCGAAAGGCTTGTGGGCACTTTCGTCTTTACATGATTTAGGCGAACACTGTGAGGGTCTCCCGAAGACATCAAGAGTGTGGTACGTAAGCCTGAGCACGCGTTGCACCATGGCTTCACCGACGACCTTCGGGTTGCAAGACGATCCAAACGAAGGCACGCTTGGGCATGCCGATCCAACAGAAGGCCCGCTTGGGCCGCTTGGGCATTAGAAATTTGTGATGGCTGGGATTCGCCACAGGCACCCGGTTCACCACAAGCAAGCGAGCAAGCAAGCGAGCCCTGTGATGACTGGATCGTGAATGACTGGATCGTGGACATGGTAGCCAGCATGAAGGCCACCAGGCCCGAAATCATTGGAGTGGGCAAGCGATGCGTGGGAGGAAGCCGGGACAATACAAACTCAGTCGCGCCACAGCACGCATTGACGAGTTCTGGTCCCACAGCTGGCACACCTCTGCTTGGATGAAGTATGTCACGGCATGGTACTTGAACTGTGCCGCTGTTGCCGTGGCTTGCGGCATGGGAGCCCTCCTGGGCTTCATCCTGCAGAGGGGGTCTTGCCTGCCACCGTTCCTCAGTCAATGTGACATAGGGATCCTTCAGGGCTGCGTATTCATTTTTGTACTGATTTTTTTTTCCTTATTCTTTCTGGGCCGGCCAAGGATTTAGCAGGGCTTTTCGGGGTTTATTCTGCGGTTTTCTTCAGGGCATTCAGAGGGTTCCATTCCTTATTCCACCTATTGGCATTCTTATCCCCAGGTTTGGCAGCTAATTCTCACGGCGCCCCCCGTTATTTTCGTTATTTTGAGGTTATTCCCACCGACACCCCGCCCCCCCATCCCCCCGCTCCCCTCACACCATGCCATACCGTGCGATCCATACTCCATACTTACTATTAGTCACCTTCTTCCTCCTCCCCACCATTCCCCACCACTCCTACCATACCTTGCCAATATTCCTTGCAAGTCGCACCCTTGCCTCTGCTACTCATTATGACCCAGCGTGCAAAACCATGTTTCCCATTTCCCACCATATTGCCGCCCACGCCAGTCTACCCCATTCCCACCATTACCCGACACACGCCCCCGCACACCATTCCCAGCATTCCATTTCCACCCACCATGGAAGACCATTCCCCGCCGCACCATAAACCATCATTCTCACCGTTTCCCGCCCATATTGCAGTCCCCATCCCACCATTACACACTATTCATCGCCCGCAATCCCACGATTCGTATCACTACGCGCCACTTCCAGACATCCAAAAACCCGCCATTTTCACCATTTCCACCATTCCCCCCTTTCCCGCTAGTACCAGACTTTCTCGACCATTCCCGCCATTTCCACCATGCCCCCCTTACCCGCCAGTGCCCGCCACCATGTACCCACCATTTCCGCCATTCTCCCATAGTCCACCAGTACCAACCATTCTCTACCGCCCACCTACCCCACTGCCCATATCCACCACCACCCGCCACCATCCGCCGAGCGTTCCCACCACTATACGCAACCCTCACCCACCACCTGACATCGACTCACCCATCCTCACCATTACCTGACATTTATTTCCACCCAACATTTAGCTCGCCATTCCCACCGTTCCCATCTTTCTTTTGCCTTGCCCACGTTGGCCATAGCTTCTGTTCCAACCTGGACACGCTGCAGCAGCAACTCGTCAAGTTCCACATCAACGATGCGAAATGCTGGTGCTGCACTGTGAACCACGTGGACAAAGTAACCGGCGCACCCATTCCTTGCGACCGTGACATCAAGCTGACATGCATTGGCATCTGGTTTGGAAGCAATACTGACTTCGAGAACCTGGTGCAAGGGCATGTTAGGGCAACGCTGCTTCGACAGCTGACTAGTCCAGTTTACCTGTACCAACAAATCGTCGTGGCTTCTAGTCCGGTGGTGTGGCTGTTCTTGGATCGCGTGGCTTACCGTCTCGCCGTCGGTGACATGAGCATTGCGGTGTCATCTTCCTTTGATGCACTGGCATGGTGGCTATTGGCGATACCTAGCATCATAGTGCTAGGTGTCGCATTGGCTTACCAAGTCTGCAAGAAGCAAGCATGCTGCGTGCTGGATTGGATCTTCAGCCTTGGTGTGTTGGTTGTACCAGCTTGCATAATGGCCGCATTCGTTCTAATTGCTGCAATCACACGCACGGCTGCCTTTGCGCTTACATCTGCCATTTTTTCCGGGTGCACACTCTACCCGTTCTGGAAGGCCAAAAACCGTGCCTTCCGGACAAATGCTAGCTGAGGCAGCGCCAAGCTAGCCCGGATGTTTACTGCTGCAATCGAAGTTGAAACTGGAAACTCTTGCTTCCACTGCTCACAGTATTCGCTTCAAAGGCAGACACACATGGCACGTATGGGCACGTAACATCATAGAGGAAGCTGTAAACCCGCGCCTTAAATTCAAAAACGCCTTGTAGCTGAAAGCGGAGGATCTTCCCGCGGCCTGGAACCTTGCCGCAATCAGGGCGCGAGTGTCGTGTCGGTGGCCGGGCAGCACTGTGCGGCATTGACTCAGGTTGGGCTCACAAGCTCGGCTTCAGTTTTTGTGCATTTTGGGCCTGCCTTTAGGATTTTGGAACTTAGCTGGGCTTTTCTGGGTAGGTTCGTCACGATCGCTTCCATCTTTCGCTTGGATTCCTGGGGAATGACGCTGTACCCCGGCGGCGAATTACACCTTTTGGCCTTTTGGGCCGCGTCAAGCTCATGAATCCCTCATCCTGAATTCCTTGTTTCTATCAGGCTTTCTTACGACACCAAAGCAACTCGTCTCACCAACGAGCGCAAGCTGCAGCGGACCCCTGGTGGCAAGGATAGTGCACAGGTTTGGGCATGTGGGGCTCACTAAGAGCTCACTGGGGCCCATGGTGGTTCCTCACCCCCGCATGAAGTGGTCAATCAGGGTGCGGAGTGGATCCATAAGAAGCTTTAAATTCATCCCTTTCTGCACGCCCCCTTGCGGAACCAAGCAAGTTTTAGAACCCACCCCTTATTGTGTCAGGGAAGGTGTCGCATTTGAGCCTTCTCCCCGCCCAACCCCCCAGAGTGGGACTTCGGTCTTAGGGTGTAGGTCTAGGCTTGGAGGGAGGGTTTAGGGGATTAGACTTCAGGGAGGAGTTTTGCCTTAGGGTTTATGGCGAGAATCAGTGAAAGGGTGGAAGTAGAAATTTGACAAGTTGGCTGGTGAGTAGGGGCCCAAAATTCGTATGTAGTCCTCAGCTTGATGAAAGCAAGTGTGCATGTGTTTTTCAGGATATGAACCCTAACCCTGCACTCCGAAATGCCCAAGCCTCAAAGCACAAATAGCACAAGTAGCATTTCTATGAGAGCCCTGAAGCTTGAAAAGGACCTTCTCAGCTTCGCGTGCTCTGCGAGTGAGGCGTCGAAGCGAGCACGTGAGGCGTCAAGGGCTGTAGTAGGTCGAGAGGTCCCTCTCCGATAGGATTTTTACTCGTCTTTGGGGTCTGCAGCAGGTTGAAGGGTATGGTGATGAAGAAGTGCCCGGGTTCCAGCCTGCCACAGGCTTCGAGTCTTGAGCGAGGAAAGAACGAATGAAAGTGGAAGTCAGTTCAGGAAAGTCAAAGCCGGTCTGACCATGGAATGGAAAAAGTCGCACGCAGATGAAGATCCCAGAATTCGATTCTACACCACATCGAAAAATTTGGGAGCTGCTAACTCCAAAGCCGCACGCTCGGCTGAAAGGTGACATCGATGATCGCATGCCCTGTCTACACTCTACTTCGGCTTCCGAGCCGGCAAGGCGGCAAGGCTACCTTGGCAATACTCAACATCATTCCGGCTATCATGAGCGTTATGGCTATGGCGAGCCCTGAATGCTCTCTTCGTCGCTTGGCCCCAGGCATCAGAATCTCTGCATGCCAGTATTACTGTGGAGGGTGGCCCTTCCACTTGTGAAAGCAGCGCTGGTCATCTAGAAACACTGCCGCCATTGTCACTTCTACACAGTACTTGAACAGAACCAAGCTTCAGTCTCACAGTGACTCGCGCATGCCATTCGACAAGGTTGCCTCTTGTGCCATTGTCATTGTCCTTCAGTAAGTCCGTCGAAGACACTTCCGCATTGACCCGAGCCACGCCCCACCACACAGACGACGAGCTGCTGCTTGACCACAATGTGCTGGCCGCAGGCCCCGGCACGAATTTTTCAGTACGAGGTTGACTTGCCCAATCTTCACATGAGCGTCCCAAGTCCCGAGCACTCGTACCCCGGGGGTTGGCATACCTCGGCCAAGTATCACACCATCTGGCTCTCTATCAGCATCAAGCCTTGTTCCGGACAGCACGTGCATGACGGTGCACTGGCCGGAAGTCACCTTTGCAAATGGATATCAGTGCTTCGCTGTGCCGCCGTATCTTCTGAAATGGTGAACGCAAATCTATCTCGCCATGCCATCACACGATTTTGGCAACACCACGCTGCGGCGGCACATCTGCTGACAGACCACTCAAGATGGCAAATTTGTCATGGCAGTCCGTTTTCAGAATCCGAACACCTTCACTCACCACGGAGCGAGCGAGAGAGAGAGAGAGAGAGGGAGAGGCAGAGGGAGAGGGAGAGGGAGAGGGAGAGCGTTGGTTTCGCGTCAGTGCATGTGGGAGGGGCCACTCCGCCATGTCCTTGAAGCAGAATGAGGAGGAGGAGAAGCAGGAGGAGGAGGATGAGCAGGAGGAGGAGCAGGAAGAGGAGGGGCGAGAGAGAGAGAGGGCGAGAGAGAGAGAGTGCGAGGCAGCGACACGGGAAGAGACAGAAAGTGAAAGCTTCGGTTCTTGAAGCTAGCCTTTCGGGCGGCTTTGAACCAAGGCCTTGGGCTGTGGTTGAGGGAGGATCCAATGAGGGACGATCTTAAATCATTCGTGAATGCCTGATGGCCTAAACTGCAAACTCTATCACTCCAAATTTGATGCCTACACCTTCAGCCCCAAACCTCAAACCCTGTGAAAAGCCCCGCAACCCTAAAGCCTCCAAGCTTTCTGAACCCTCTTGGAACTGCCCTGCAAGGTGACCAAGCGAGCGGGGCCAAAGCCTCGCGCGGCGTCTCCTCCAAAACTTGAGAGCTTCAGAAAGCTGCCGGAGATTGGAGTGTGAGTGCTGACAGGTAACGCTAGACCCCCACCTTGTTTGTACATATGTGTATATATATATATACATATACATACGCGTGGTGGGCGTTAAGGGCCAGGAGCCACCTTCCTGGCTCCGCAGTTCACAAAGTCACAAAGCCACCCACCAAAAATGGGCCCCCTAAGCTAGTGCTCAGTAGGTTTCAAGCCAGGCCGCAGATGCCGGCTGCAGGAGCATGAAGGGATGGTCCTGGGCTCGTGGTCTGGTAAGTTTATGTAAGTTTGGTATTCCCTCACGTTTAGTTTAATGTGTTCTTTGTTCCACTGCACAAATTCGACAGGAGACTTAGAGAAGATTCGCGTGTTGGCAGGCAATCGAGTCGACGGTTTAACAGCTTGCCGGTGCGAGAAATGAAAGCAAACGAAAAACGGAATGGAATGGAGATGCAGATGCAACCGTGTGCCCGTACAGAACTCCTTCCATTGCAGTTGCACGACAAGAGTTCCCATCAGCTTCACCTCGGCGCATGTCGGCCTCGGGTGGGTTGCAGCCGCAAAATCCGTTGAGAACCTGAGGGGCCCTAAGCTTGAGACAATTTGCATGGAAGCACCTGTGTCTTGCAGGAGCGCCAAGTCAACAGCTGATGCGGGTGGCAAGGCAAGAGGGTGTTCCGAACAGGCTACATATAACAGGTCATGTGAAGATTCTGGTTGCAGAGCTTTCGGTCTAACGGTTGAGGTTGAGGTATGCGGGCGTAGGGGATGCTAGCATGATTCTGCAGGGTTCCATTTAATAGCCAGGATTTGCAGCAGTCATTGGAGGTTTCAGTTCCGCTGGGTACCGTATGCTCGATTTGGTGTCAACCTTTCATTTCTCAAAGGCGACCTATGTACCATCCGAAAAGCTGAACATTCTTTGGCTCTGCAAATACGCCTCTCCTACCCCAAGGCTGTAGACTCTAAACCTCAGACCCTATGTGTTCCAGGCGGACATCCGGAAGCCCACGCCCGTGCGAAGGTTGGGAGCCGATGTGTATCTTAGCTGAGGGTTTCTGGGTTTGGGGCTTTCAAGCCATCAGGAACCATCAGCGACGGCGTAGGACGTAGGACCTTCAGCCCTCAAAGGGACTCATTGCCTCAGAACTGGAAACGAAGCTCAACATTGGAGGCAGCCACGGGCCGCCCGAGTTGAACTCTGGCCCACGTCGGTGGCCGGTCATGCGAGAGGTGGACCAACTCAGACGAGGGGCACTGTGACTTGTGGGGTTTAGGTCCTACTTTGTACTTGCGAAAGCTTTACATGATAAAGCTGTGGTGACGTGGTGGCTGTCAAAGGATGGAAAAGGTTTGTTTGACAGGTTCATGCGGGGCCTTGCAGCGGGTGGGGGGGATTTTTTGAAGAGGAGGAGGAGGTGCAGCATGCCCAGGGACGCACAGGCATATCTTCCACAGCAACCGAGGGTGTCACTTCATTGCTCGTACACAACGTGAGGGAGGATGACTTGCAATGAGGCGCTTCAAACCCCTTCGCTGAGCATCTTCTGCCTTGCACACACCCGAATGAAATAGTCATGATATCCCCCATGGAGTGCTAAAATTCATCCAAGCAGTGGAAAACCAATCCATCCAGAACCGGGGCCCGGGCCAGTGAAGCCAAAATTTGGCTTTGACCATGATGCCGTCCGCACAGGCAAGAATGATGTGCAATGAATGAATCTTGCGCTTTCTCCGCTGCATACCGTCTCGCACGCGCTGCAGCCACTCTGAACGAGTCGCAACTGCGTCGGACTTTGATCTGTCAATGCATAAACTCCCCAACGGCCACACCTTAAGGTCCTGGATCCGCAACCTCGATAAGCAGAAGCTCCTCGAGGCGCGGGCGGGGGCGGGGGGCGGAACGTGTTCAACACACTATCGGGGCAGCAGAGAAGTTGCTTACTTTGCTTGTTAAGAGGGGTTCTCTATGGGGCTTCCTACTGCCCTCAAAAAAGCCCTTAAGTTCAGGCGTTAAGCCGCAGAACCTGGCCTCTGCCCCTCAGAGAAGCACGCTGCCTCCCCAATTCCCGAAGAAAGTCTTATGCCAAAATATGAGTCATGCCAGGGCCTCTTCGGCGCCAGGTGCCGCGCGTGCACCAGGTGCCAGGAAGCCTGCCAAGGCACCGGTGCCAGTGTGGGAAAATATTGGATGGGGTGAGGACCAAAAGCCAGATGTGCCAAGAGGCCTCTAATACTTTCGAACAAGGGGGGTTTATGATAAGCCAGGAGCTGTCTCTGCCAACGGTGTCACTACCAGCCCGGTAGAACTCTTGATTCATCACGCCCTGAGACTTCAACTGTTTGTTCAGGCGCCATTCTTTACAGCAGTGGCCCCTCCTGGGAACACTTTCGGCTTTCACAAGGTGCGCTTAAGTGCGTTTTAAGTATGTTCCAGGCATTGGCCTCAAGGTCGCTTGAGGAACTTAACGATTTCCTTTCATGGTCATTGCAGCTGGGTGACCTCAATCGCACAACAAAAGCAAGCACGAGAAGATGCACCAAGTTCGGGAAATCCTTCTCGTGCCCGAAGCCTGCACTTGGGACGCTTGATGTTGCGCCTGTGTTGTATACATTGTGGTTTGCTTCTGCTGTTTTTTGGTTGGCGCTCGTGATTTGCGAACTGTGGTCTGGAAATTCGATGCTCCAGGATCTTTGCGTTGCGCTTTTGATTTGTAGGTTGTGGTCCGGAATCGTGCTTTGTTTTATGGCGGGCCATGGATCTTTGAGAAAGTCATGAGCGTACTCAGGGTTCTAAGTTGCGAGTTTCCAGAAGTCATGGTTTCGCGATTTTTGGCTTGAGGGCTTGGAGTTCGGGTCAAGTTGGTTCCGAGCGAAACTAACGTCGATTGACATCCCGACCCCGAAGCTGAGATTGCAAGACCCACAGCGAGAACCCCAAGCCCCTTGTTTGAGGCCATCCCGGAGCCGCGGCAGTCCAAAGAGATGCCGCGGGAGGTGCTCGTAGCTTGGCAACGGCATAAGGCCGTCTGAAGCGTTCGTAAGGGGGATCAAGTGGATGCGGAAAGGTCGGGCGGGACCACCGGATCTTTGAGAACGTCATGAGCGGGCTCAGGGTTCGAAGTTGAGAGCTTCGCGAAGTTCTGGTTGGAAGTGTTGGAAGTGTGGGGTTTCGGGTTAGTGCTCAGTAGTCAAGGGTATGCATCCGCGCCAGAAGAAATGAAGGATCGAAGCAACCGCTGGCGAACACCCACTGAGGCTTCCATGGTGGAGCCGATGCACAGCGCCCGCCAAGAAGATGCTGAGGATCGGATCGGGACGCGCAGTCCAATGCTTTTGGGGCTCTCTATGACTTGGACATGGAAGCTTCCGACCAAACCCAAGCGATCGATGCCCCTGCTACAAAGACGGTCTAGTATGCCTTCAGCTCAAACAGAACCAAGGCTTTTAGCGTCAACGTCTCAGATGTCAGACGCAGGGCAAGGGGAAATCGACAGGGACGCATCCAGCAGGGAGTATGAAGACCCCCCCGAATCGACAAACAGTGCTGTCAAGATAGACTCTGTGCTGGTCAACCAGGCTCTGATTGTGAACATGCGAATTCTGTTTTCCTCCATTTGCTGAATTTTGCTGACAGACAATTGCAGTTCCGTTTGTCATAGGCTTTGTTCGGTCAAGGCTCCATGAGACTGATCGTGCTCGATACATCCGGGAAGTTAAAGTGGATTGACATCCCGACCCCGAAGCTGAGATTGCAAGACCCACAGCGAGAACCCCAAGCCCCTTGTTTGAGGCCATCCCGGAGCCGCGGCAGTCCAAAGAGATGCCGCGCGAGGTGCTCGTAGCTTGGCAACGGCATAAGGCCGTCTGAAGCGTTCGTAAGGGGGATCAAGTGGATGCGGAAAGGTCGGGCGGGACCACCGGATCTTTGAGAACGTCATGAGCGGGCTCAGGGTTCGAAGTTGAGAGCTTCGCGAAGTTCTGGTTGGAAGTGTTGGAAGTTTGGGGTTTCGGGTTAGTGCTCAGTAGTCAAGGGTATGCATCCGCGCCAGAAGAAATGAAGGATCGAAGCAACCGCTGGCGAACACCCACTGAGGCTTCCATGGTGGAGCCGATGCACAGCGGCCGCCAAGAAGATGCTGAGGATCGGATCGGGACGCGCAGTCCAATGCTTTTGGGGCTCTCTATGACTTGGACATGGAAGCTTCCGACCAAACCCGAGCGATCGATGCCCCTGCTACAAAGACGGTCTAGTATGCCTTCAGCTCAAACAGAACCAAGGTTTTTTGTGTCAACGTCTCAGATGTCAGACGCAGGGCAAGGGGAAATCGACAGGGACGCATCCAGCAGGGAGTATGAAGACCCCCCCCCGAATCGACAAAACAGTGCTGTCAAGATAGACTCTGTGCAGGTCAACCAGGCTCTGATTGTGAACATGCGAATTCTGTTTTCCTTCATTTGCTGAATTTTGCTGACAGACAATTGCAGTTCCGTTTGTCATGGGCTTTGTCCGGTCAAGGCTCCATGAGACTGATCGTGCTCGATACATCCGGGAAGTTAAAGTGGATTGACATCCCGACCCCGAAGCTGAGATTGCAAGACCCACAGCGAGAACCCCAAGCCCCTTGTTTGAGGCCATCCCGGAGCCGCGGCAGTCCAAAGAGATGCCGCGCGAGGTGCTCGTAGCTTGGCAACGGCATAAGGCCGTCTGAAGCGGTCGTAAGGGGGATCAAGTGGATGCGGAAAGGTCGGGCGGGACCACCGGATCTTTGAGAACGTCATGAGCGGGCTCAGGGTTCGAAGTTGAGAGCTTCGCGAAGTTCTGGTTGGAAGTGTTGGAAGTGTGGGGTTTCGGGTTAGTGCTCAGTAGTCAAGGGTATGCATCCGCGCCAGAAGAAATGAAGGATCGAAGCAACCGCTGGCGAACACCCACTGAGGCTTCCATGGTGGAGCCGATGCACAGCGCCCGCCAAGAAGATGCTGAGGATCGGATCGGGACGCGCAGTCCAATGCTTTTGGGGCTCTCTATGACTTGGACATGGAAGCTTCCGACCAAACCCAAGCGATCGATGCCCCTGCTACAAAGACGGTCTAGTATGCCTTCAGCTCAAACAGAACCAAGGCTTTTAGCGTCAACGTCTCAGATGTCAGACGCAGGGCAAGGGGAAATCGACAGGGACGCATCCAGCAGGGAGTATGAAGACCCCCCCGAATCGACAAACAGTGCTGTCAAGATAGACTCTGTGCTGGTCAACCAGGCTCTGATTGTGAACATGCGAATTCTGTTTTCCTCCATTTGCTGAATTTTGCTGACAGACAATTGCAGTTCCGTTTGTCATAGGCTTTGTTCGGTCAAGGCTCCATGAGACTGATCGTGCTCGATACATCCGGGAAGTTAAAGTGGATTGACATCCCGACCCCGAAGCTGAGATTGCAAGACCCACAGCGAGAACCCCAAGCCCCTTGTTTGAGGCCATCCCGGAGCCGCGGCAGTCCAAAGAGATGCCGCGGGAGGTGCTCGTGGCTTGGCAACTGCATAAGGCCGTCTGAAGTGTTCGTAAGGGGGATCAAGTGGATGCGGAAAGGTCGGGCGGGACCACCGGATCTTTGAGAACGTCATGAGCGGGCTCAGGGTTCGAAGTTGAGAGCTTCGCGAAGTTCTGGTTGGAAGTGTTGGAAGTGTGGGGTTTCGGGTTAGTGCTCAGTAGTCAAGGGTATGCATCCGCGCCAGAAGAAATGAAGGATCGAAGCAACCGCTGGCGAACACCCACTGAGGCTTCCATGGTGGAGCCGATGCACAGCGCCCGCCAAGAAGATGCTGAGGATCGGGACGCGCAGTCCAATGCTTTTGGGGCTCTCTATGACTTGGACATGTAGTTCAGGTACTTCGGACTTTCCCAAGCTTTTGGTGCAAAACCCATCCTGCCAGGATGGAGTCCAGTTCGTCTTTGCAGAGCTCTTTGCTGGCTTAGACAACTCGGACCAGTTCGTGCCGCATGGTTCCCAGGCGCGCTTCTGAGAAAGAGCTGCGACTCTGAAGGTCTCTTCTTATATATGTATATGTGTTCATGTATATGTGTTCATGTATATGTATATGTATATGTATATGTATATGTATATGTATATGTGTATATATATATATACGTTTAATACGCGCACATATTCGCATAACTTTTCCTTTGGTTTGAAGATGGCCCAGCCTTCGATGTTGAAGGTTTGCGAACTCAGGCTCACGCATCCCGAGCTTGAAAAGACTCCAACTCTTAAAGGTTTGGCGTTCGGCGGTGCTTCGAGTTTGTAGCCTTTCGAACTTAAGTTTGAGAGGGGTCGAGTTTGAGAGCTCCAGAGATTGAAAGTTAGAAAGTTCGATTTTTGAGTTTGAAGGTCCTGTGAGAGTCGTGGCCGGCGTCGGGAGATTGAAAGTTTAAAAACTCGAGGGCTTGAGATTTTACACCAAAAGCTTGAAAGATCGACGGGCTCAAAGTTTGAGAGATTGTTAGTTTGACGTCAGTTCGGGTGCACGAGTTGTTCGACCTTTGAGACAGGACGCATTTGAAGATTTGATGATGCCGAGTTTGAAAGTTGACTAGAGATTTTGAGAGTCGAGAGGTTTAGCCTTTGAAGGTGTCACGGGAACGCACGGAACACTTCGTTCGCCTTCAGCCTTCTCTTTGCCCCATGTCGCCTTCGTACAACCCACTAGCATGCAGCTTCTCCTTTGCCCATCGTAAGCACCCTGTGAACTATGGGGGTTTGTTTTCTTGCTCTTGGCGTGCTTGTAACTTGGGAAAGCCTCGTCAGGAGTGGCTTTGTGTCCGCAAGTTTCTGACAGAAGCTTTATGGCCGAGCCCTGATTCCAAACCCCTGCTTTCTTGCCATTGCAAGCAGGAGCAATGGTGCGAATCGTTCGCCAGCTCCTCACCACCGGTTGCACAGGCACAGCTTGTGTTGGTGGAGTTTTCAGGGAGTTCCCACGGGGAAAATTCAAAGCAGATCAGGACATGGTACAGGTGCAGGGTGCAGCGTTTGTTTTGTTTTTGTCAGGTGGAGGTTATATGGCTCGGGATGTGTGTCGCAAGTTTCTGACAGCAGCGTGTTGAGTCCGTCGACGACTCTTGGGGCACGTGTTGCAGATACTTCTTCATGCTGGACTCCAGTTGTGAGCTTGATGTGCTGGTGGGCCAGAAAGCTGTGTGTTTCACCATCAATGTTAAGCAGCCATGCAAAGATACTGAAAATTCCCGCACTACTTGTACAACCTTCATGGCCGAGGTCTGATGTAAAGGGTTCGTTTGTTTCGATCACTTAGCAACACGTTTTCTTGCGTCCTGGGCAGCATGCCGCCCCAAACCCTGAACCCTGAACCCTATGCCTAATCCCTGAACTCCGACGTGGTTGCTAAGTGATCCTTCAACTAGCCCTGATTCCAAAGCCCTATTTTCCTGCAGGAGCAATGGTGCGACTCGCTCGCCAGCTCCTCGCTACCGGTCGTTCAGGCACATCTGGTGTTGGTGGAGTTTACTGGAGTTAGATCTCTAACTTGGCTGTCGCTCAGACGGCCACGCCCACACTGTTTCTTTTTGTTTTGTCAGGTGGAGCTTGCAGGTATGGATTTTTCCACTTCGAACATCCCCACTTCATCCTTAAAACCCAACTGCAAGAATTAAAGTTGCAGCGTTGGGAAGGGGACGCTCTGTCTGTTTTCCATGCTGATTCAGAGTTGCTGGTCTTTGAATCAAAGCTTCCCGGCTCTGAACGATCTGGAAGCTTGAACTCTGAGTTGGCAGCTCAGATCTCAAGCTTCCAAATTAAGCTTCCCCGACCTGAGCTTCTCGCAGTTGCAGGGGAAGGTGTTCCAGGATCTTCTTCTCCGAATGGGTTACATCGTCGCAACCAGCAAGTGCAAGCAAGGAACGAAGGCTGTACACAGTCAATCTGAACTCTTCTTAGCCGTGAGCGTAGCACTGTGCTAGCTCAGGCAGCCGGGTGTGTGCTCCGGCATAAACAGGCCAGCAATGCGGCAGTCAGCAACTCCTCGTCCGAAGCTGCCAGTGGCATTTGCACAGCAAGTGGGGTCACAGTGGGGGTCTCAGCGTGTCGCTGCCAAGCGATCTGTGAGCCAGAGGGAAAACACAGGGAGGATCGGCAACCAGATGCCGGTTGCTGGCTCCCGGACTTGGAAACGCTCCGTGAGCAATTGCTTGGCCACAGCAGTGGTGAAAAATTTTTTACCCCCCCTGCCGGTGTGGCTGTCCGGGCTTGTGCTCCTGCCAGACAGAGTGCATGAGCTTGCTAGCATGTGCTAGCCAATGGGGAGAAGGCCGAGAACTGCCTGCGACAGCAGTGGGCCAAGAGGCCCAGCTGGTCATCGAGGGCCCTGGCCCGAGTAGGTTGCGCAAGCGAGAGAGCATGAATTTCCCGTCTAGGGAACATCGGTGCATCTTCCCTTCATGTTTTCTTAGCGTTCTTGGGGAGGCATCAGCTGCATCAGCAAGGTCGACTTGGGTGGGTGGTCTGGGAAGGGTCCGGGGCCGTAAGGTAAGCACTCGAAACCCCAGGCCCGAAACCCTTTGTGGCCTCCCCTTCCCGCCAAAAAAAAGACTAAGTCATGTTTTCTGTTTGTGCCGTGGCGGGCTGTGGCCGGCACCCGCTCAATAGAGCAAAACCTGAAAACCTGCACGGCCTCAGCCCAAATCCGTACCCTGGCCATAGGGCCATAGGGCGTCAAAAGTCAACAAACAGGTGTTCACCCGACGCTCGTGCCCTTGCCGATGTCGGCGGAATATTCTCTTGAAACCTGAGCAAACGAACGTCTTCAAGCTTTCATGAGAACAGCAGGAGCCTGGTTCTTTCCTGTTTATTCTAGTCAAAATCCATCCGAAGCAGCACAAGGCAGACGTCTTTGAACTGTGAGTGAACCACAAGCTTCTGGATTTTGAGCCTGAAACCCCCAACCCAAGCATCAAGGAGCTGCAAAGCCATCCAGCCATGCGCCCCTCACCTCACCTCAAATGCTAGGACCCGGCCCTGGCGCTCACGTGCACCCTGACATCCACCCGCAGTCGAGTGGCATCCACTGAGGCGCTTTCAGTTCATAGTTTGGGGCTGGGCTTCTGTTCAGGATGAGCGTTGAAGGACTTGGCTCCTGCGTTTGGCGCGTGACGGTTTTGGTGTGGTTGGTAAGGCTTCGGCCTTGTAGGCTGTAGCGTCAGCAACTTCTATCGAAAGCCATCCAATAAGACTCGGAGCCATGTTCTGTAGGATCTTTAGGTGAAGGGCCACGTCCGTGATGCAGGGGCCCTTTGGTTTATAAGGGTTTAGGGTTTAGGGCTTGACTTAGGGCAAAGGGTTTCAGGTTTAGAGGCTTAGGTCCTTAGGGTTTTAGACTTTGTGGCTTTTGAGGGGTCTTGGGGTTAGGGCCAGGGGCTTGTTTGAGTTTGGGCTTTGAGGAATGAGAGTTTGGGGCGAATGAGGCTTTGGGGCGAGGGGCTTCGGGTTGCAGCACAGGATTCTGAAGCCTAACGGCTCACTGGGATTCCCGGTAACCTAGGTTTAGGGCTTAATTGGGGTGTAGGCGCTGGGTACTTGTACATACATGAAGCTCGATCCCCAGGGCGTTAGGATGCTCAAGGTGTGACGTTTGTTTAAGGGTCGAAAGGTTTGGAGAATTTTGAGACTTGGGGGTCTGCAGGTTGGAGGCAAAGAGGAATAGAGCTTAGGGCAGCCTGGCTCGGGATACCGCTGCATTGTTTCAATATGTGTTTCGGAATCGTCTTTGCTTGTGCACGCATGTGCTGAAGGTTTAAGGTCAACGATTGAGCTTCAGGGCTTTCCCCAAAACTCAGAAGTCATGAGAGACTCTTGCATCCTAGACCCTGGGAGAGAGGTGCCGTCACCGCGGGTATACTCGGCCTACGAGACAAGTCCAGACGCTCATCCGACAATGGTTCGATTTTGAGATTTGAGAAGGTAGGGTTCTGGAATGAAGTCTTCTCGGCTCCGGTGATTGGAATCTTGCTCGACTTCTCAGCGAGCGCCAAAGCGTAGGAGATCCTATATTCTGTGAACCCCCCCCCCCACCCACACACTGGAATAGCTTCTTGAATCATGAAGCTGAATGGATGCAGGGATTTAGAGTAATGGAGCCCATTCTATCAATTCTGCACGCCTTTGCAACAGCTTGGGACTCGTAGCTTCACACGATGACACTTTGGATCGGTTCCCAGCAATTGGTGCAGCATGGTGCAGCTTTGACAAATCCCTAGTATGTCCTGACTTGCAAAATCGACCCTACCTGCCACAACATGAGCGCTTCTTTGCCAGGCAAGAGAGTACCATCGCTATGACATCGCGCCTTGCAGTGGACATCTTATCGCTCGGAGCGTTGAGTTGCTTGAAGGGCTCAAAACCTAAGTACTGAAAAACCCAAATGCATAAAGCCCCAAAACCTTAAATCCGTTCACGGTCCTGGGGCGCAGATCCTCTTGGGAAACTTTGCGCCCTGGTTACCACGCCAACAGCGAATTGTAAGGTTACGGTGTAGGGTTCATCACGTGCCAGACGGAAGCGTGCTTTGTGAGCTCTGTTTTAGTTACATTCTCAGAAAAGGCACCAGGTTCTGGACGATTCACTGAACCAGTGCTTGAACTCCCCTTCTGCTCTTCATTCACGCTAGACATCAGGCTCTCACTACAACATGGTTCTTTTGAGGTCATGCACATCTTGCTTTATGTGTGCCCGTTACGAACCGTTCGGAACAAGACACTTTCGGGACAGGATGTGGTGCCGCTAGCAAAAGCAATCTACCTCGGAAAGAGCTTGCAAACTTCCAGTGCCTGTCGATACCTGTCGCCTGTTGCCACACTGATTTTTCCTTCGGTGGACCACGACAATCCCACAAACTCCACTATTACAAAGATTCTTGCAGCGATTCTAAAAGTGCAAAAGGCTGCTCAGCAACAGCTGTTCAGAACATTTTGCTCAGGGATGCGGCCGGGGTGAATTGCTTTGAGCACCGCTTGCCATGCATGACCCCAGGCAGTGCTTTCGCACGAACCTTCCCTGAAGTCCTTGCAGCCGAAAGTAAGATAGCGATTCTGAACTCCCGTCCAAGCCCTGACTCTCAATCTCAAACCTGTACAGCTCCACAGCCGCAATAATGCAATGCAGCAGGAACCAAGTAGCGCTTCCCCAAGCTGTCCAGACACGCACTCAAAATGTCGGCAAGAAGTTGATTCAGAAGTGAGAAGTTTTTGTTTTTGAAGCCCGAAACCCCAACCCTGAACCAAGACCGCTCTAGACCTTGCAACCCAACAAACCCTCCCAAACCAAGCCTCGTTGAGTCTTACAAGCTTTTTTACTACTAAAAGCTTCTATTTCAAGGAGACGCCGCTTTCCACCTCGCCGCTGTCTGAGTTCGGGGTGGATCGGCGCCAGGGTACTCCCTTCACGTGACCTGCCGTCGAACTTTCAAGCCTTAAACGGGTCAGTAGAAGTTTGAGAGACTATCTTGGTGCGGCCTCGGCTATGCAGCCTGCGAGGCCTGTAGCAGTCTCGCACTTTGTTCTTGTTCTTGGCTTGAGGCGGAAACTACAACTTTTTGAGGGCTTAGAAGTCCAAACCTAGGTTAGGCCTCCCTAGGTGTTGTGGAGAGAGAGAGAGTTTCGCAAACCAGCGCAGCCAGGCAATGCCAGCGACACCCTACCACGCATTTCAGAGGCGTTCAAGCCCTGTGTCACCCTTCTCTTCATGGATGTTTTGGATCACAACGCTAGGCCCCGCCAGGCTCACAGCATTGGCCATGTCGATGTAACGAAAGCCTCTGAGGCGCTCTAAGGCATCGCCCTGAGGCACTCATCGCACATGCCATTTTGGCTTCCAACTTTCAGGCTCACCAGGAGTTCAAGCATGGTTGCAAAGCGAAGCACAATGCATTTTTATGGAGAAGAAAGAGTGCTCGATCTGTGCCAAGATAGCTTGTGAACACAGCTGTGAGCTGAACTAGAATCTTGCAAAAACCTCGCAAAGTGCATGAGGCTGTGCCCACTACTCCGAACCTCAACATCACGGGCCCCAGGCTTTAGGGCCGAATGTCCTACAGTTTGAACACATCAAGCTCGACAGTACTTAGGACCATTGAAACCTGCTGCCTGACAGAACCGGAAAGCCCTTTACTACGCCTCAATTCCGAGCCCCAAGCTCCCGGTGCTCATCTCAGGTGCACGGGGCAGCGAGTCTCTCGGCTGTTGTCCATGCAAGCGCAGTCTCAGGTGCAACCTTCTTTCGGCTTGTGATAGAGTAGTCTACGATATAGGGTGCCGGGCCTGAGGCGCAAACCGACTTAACCTTCATCACAAGTGTTTTTTTCTTCTTCCTGCTTCTTTTGTTTGGGCAGAAACTGATAAACGCACACGTTACTCGTGGCATCGTTCTTTGAGACGCTTTGCAGAGTTGTGTAGCTGACTTTGAGTATGTGGCTGTTGTTTCTTGCTTTGCCGAGGGCCAAAATGCAAAACACAAAAAAGCAAGACACAACAAACCATATCAAATATCAGGAGCTAGATAAACGCACACGCACGCACACGCACGCCACGTGCACACACACGCACACACACAGAATCGGAAGTCTTGACAAGCATGGCTGTGTCAGTGTAAAATGGCTTTAGTACCGCGTGAGCAAAGCGAATGAATTCAGCACGCCAACGCCCCCCACATCAGGTTCTTCAGCTATAACCGTGTAACACCTGGGAATCATGGCGAGGAAGCTAACTGGAAAAGCCGGTTCATCATACTTTTGGACTGGCAAGCAAGAAAGGCGCGTGTAAATTTAATATTGCATTAGCAGGGATTCCGAGGGGCGTCAATTGATGAAGGTGAACGAGCCTGCGAAAAGGTCCCTAAAACACCCATAACATTAATACAAAAATAGGCAATGAACGCGCTCTGAAATTATGTGTGGCTTTTAGGAGGGCTCTGTGGCTAAGTCTGGATTTATAAAGGTTGAAACCAAAGGCCCTTAATTAATGATTCTTGCATGTAAGAGGAAGTCAAACAGCTGCTAGGAGAAGCGAAAGGGTTGTGCTTTGGATTTCAGGTAGTAGGGTTGGAAGCTGTCAATTGGCTTGTGAGCTGTCAAGTGCAGGGTTTATGGTTCAAGCTTCTATCACCATCTGACTCTCTCATTGCGTGGGCACTCCTTAGCAGACCCGGAAAGTTTGATTCCATCAAACTCCAAGGCTCCATCGCGTCTAGCTCTGGTGCGCTGTTAGTTCTCAAATGAGACGGCGAGCCCTCACCCCTCAACAAAACAGCAAAAGCCTAAGCCCAAGCTTTTTCCAAGCGCCTACTGTGCTACCAGGAGTTGTTCCCTCCGAGCGACACTGTGCCCGCGCCGGGTTTCTACTCCAGCACGGGGTCCTCCCTGAAAACGCGGCTTGTTTCGGTTTAGTGCCTAAGCCCCAAGCCTCAACCCTGGGGCCCAAAGCACCATGGCTCTACAGCCAATATCAAAAGAATCGGGAAGACTGCAAGACTTCAGGCCCTACCAGATGCAAAGCGAGATGTTTCCAGCCCATCATCAGCTTTGGTTCTTTGGGTTGAGGTGGGTGGGTCTCAAGATTGTTGTCGGATTCGAGACAGGCTGTCTTATGTCAAACGCAGAAACCCCATCGATGCCTAAGCCAGAATGCCACCGAGGCTTCAGTTTCGCACCCAAGAAGCTGTGGAACTGCTCGTGAGCCCTTCTAAGCCTAATCCTAAAGCCTCAACGAGCTTGACCGGATCAGCGTTCCAGGGCTGGCGTCTCAAAGTTCGGGCGCGAAAGACGACGGACGGTTCTGGCCGTGAGGGAGACCCGGGGTTGGGGGATACCTTCAGTGCATTCGACCCAGGATTTCAAGGTGCAGGATGGGCTTCGGCTGCCTTATGTATATTTTCTTGCAATGCCTACTGTAGACAGCCTACCAAATTTGTGCCTACCTACATCTACGTACCAACGACTTGAACTTGACTGGCTCAAGAAAATATATGCGCTTTGCACATATGCATTTGTGTGTTGGCTATCCGCTGGTCCGTAATCCTTGGGACACTGTCTTTCAGTTCATGGATGTTTTTCAGCTCCCGTAAACGCTGCACCCGTTCCTGGGAAGGGCGAGAGCATGCCCCTACCTAGTGTTTTCAGCTGAGGCACCCCTCTCCGGGAGAGAGGTAGCACCTCTTAGAAGTAGAATGTGTCGTTGCTCAAGATTGGTCTGGCGATGAATCAGGCAGGCGCTGCAAGCGTCGCAGCTAGCCAAACTGTTGTTGAGCAAGCCGGGGCTCTGGCGGGCACCCATCAATCTTGGAACCTTATTCCTGGTCTGGGAACCGCACACTATATGCCCACCGAACAAGTATCCGATCATGCTCTCTCAGCAACATTTACAAGAACTGTAGAGGACCTTCAAGTGAACCAAGTCAGCCGACAAACAGGATTCATAGGGGGGGGGGGGGGGGGGGGGGGGGGGGGGGGGGTGTGCACACGGGTTAGGGACAGGGCGGTACCATGGCTGGCTTGCAACTGAGCGGACTGTGATGGCCTGGGTTTGAAGCAACAACAAGAGCAACAAGAAGCGCACTGTCGGGACGTGCCAAGATGCTTCATTCCCGAGCTATACAGGCGCTCCATGTTTGTTTCAGTCCACTGGCCTGAGAGTGGCCCGCAACCCGCTTTTGGGGGGACGGCCATGGTGTCGAGCAAGGGGGTCCTGGAAGAAATCGGCGATAACGGTGGGCGGAGGCGAAGAAGCTTTCCAGTAAAGGAGGTGGGTTGTCCTTTCACCCCAAAAAGCCGTACTGGCTTTTCGGAAACAATTTTTGCAATCAAGCGTTGCCTGCCGCAGGAGAGTCGGAGTGCTTCGCCAGGGGTGGGAAGCTATGATGCCCGCCCCC